ATATATACATACATACATAATCTGACCATGTGGAAAGTGAAAATCATCTTAGAAGTTTGTTGAAATTGTTTTTAAATTGAAGAAAATTGTAATTCAGATAATCTGTATTTTGATAGATTAAGATAAATTGAATAGAGTTTATGACTGTAGTGTGAGGTTTTAACTGTCTGCAGACACACACATCACTGTGAGTTGTATACAGGAGCTCTGTTTGAAGGTATACTCACTGATGTCTAAAACTTGACTTGGGAAAGCTCTGTCTTAGTTGGGTTCACTCTTACAAAAAGCTAACAGTTACTACGCTCTCCACTCAAACAATATTTTCTTTTGCTTGTGCCTGCAGTGTCGACTGAAAACAGGACACAAACGTTCAGTGTTGCTGCTTCAACAGCAGAGAACCATCTCCAGTCTGAACCCAAAGTGTCAGATCTTATTTCAAACATTAAGCTACATGATTCCACCAATCAGTGTCAATGTTTAAAATAAAATTATTTTTATTCTTACACTTATTGTGTTTTATGATTAACTTATTGAATGTTTGTTATTTTAGTATGGTTGTGACTTCTGTAACTTTTTATGATGAGTACAGTTTGTTTGGCCCCATGTCCCCTTGAAAATGATATCTCAATCTCAAGTGGGTTTTAAATCTGGTTAAATAAAGGAAATGAAATGAAGACAAATGCAGTTTTTTCAGTGGAGGAAAAATGTGACCCATTCCATCAAACTGTGTCACAAAGCGGTCCGTGGAGAACAAGGCAGCAATAATTCATTGATTTAAATGTTTACAACAACTGCATTTTGTCAAAACATGATGAACCTCATCTACAGGTCACTTAAATTAAGTGTCTGAAATATAATCTTAAAGATTTTTCAATAAGAGTTTTGAGTAGTTGCTCCAAAAAAAGTGATTTTTCAGCTGAAAGACCTTACATTTTTTTAATTTCCCTGTGGATTATCTTTCAGGATACACTAGTGTAGTGTGAGCTCAGCATGTTTCTGTTCTGAATGTTTGAAATGTTTTTGGTGTTAAAAGCCTAAAATCTGTTTGGGTTTTTTCAGGCCAGAGATCAGAAGGTGGTTGGTGATGTCCAACGTGCTCGACACTATGGATCCACTTCTCGCTGTCTCAACATCTGGGCCACAGTCTTGAATGTCATCATCGTGTTTACTTCTGTAACTGCCTTCAGTGTTATCCTTGTGCAGGCAAGAAGCATATTGAACAAGTGATTACATTTATTATGATGGGTAAATTCCATCCTGTGCAAAGAGCTCAGCTCTACTTTTTTCTCCTCCATTACCATAATATCATTAACATGTTTGCTTTATATTAGCTTCTTTTTTGTTGTAATTTTAGAAAAATGTTCATTTAGGCCTAAAATATCTGTTATAAAAATGTTTTGGTTGTGTTGTTGCTTTTAACAGTTTGATTTGATAATAAACTTCAGATATGCTCATTTATTTTTCACAGACTTTATTATTTTAGTTGTGTCCTGATAACACATCTTAGTTTGGATTTTTTATGTTTAACTAACTTTAAACTAAGATGTGGAAACCATGCTGTGAAACTTCGTCACTTTCTTTACAGGGAAATTACCTCATTTCATTTCCAATGAAATTGGGATGTTGTGTAAAACAGTGACAGCTGTAAAATCACATTTCACAGTTTGTGGACTCAGTCTTTCACAGATATTTTTATAACACGTGGCGTGAGCCCTGCACAGAGGATCAGTCAAATTTAAAAATGTTGGATATTATCATAACAAGAACAGCATACCAGTTGTTATGGCAATATTTATTTAACAAAGACAGAAATACGTGGTCCAAGAATGAAGGTACTCCGTGAGATGATCAGCTGAGTTTTATTGCAACAACAGGAAACACAGAGAACCTGGCCTGTCTCTGTGCCTCTGCTTCTCTCTGTCACTGTGTCTCCGCACTACTGTTGAACACTGTGTCTCGAGAGGCCTCATATATATTAACAAACACCATTCTGTCATCTTAGCAAGATTTGATACAAGGTCAATGGAGAACACAAAGATAAACACAAGTGATATCTAAGAATCTGTGGTTAGCAAATCTTGTTCTGACTTTAATCATTCTATCTGCAGATGAACAGCATGTCATGAAAACCTAGGTCATTAAAGGATGTCATGAATTATCTGCTTAAACATAAAAGTATTAGTTCCATTACATCTCCCCCATCTGATCATTAAATCACCAATTAAATGATCAATAAAACAAAAAAACTTTAATGTATTTAAAAAAAACAAGTCAACATAAACCTAAGTATACAGTGGGGAAAATAAGTATTTCGTCAGTCACCAATTGTGCAAGTTCTCCCACTTAAAAAGATGAGAGAGGCCTGTAATTGACATCATAGGTAGACCTCAACTATGAGAGACAAAATGTGAAAAAAAAGTCTTTTAATCATTTATTATCAATTTATGGTGGAAAAAAAGTATTTGGTCAATAACAAAAAAGCAAGA